GCTCAACAGTTCGAGACGCCAGGAATCTTTACATATTTCCACCAGAGAATAACACGAAAAACATTGTTTATCAAGAGGTTTTCAAATGAAAAGTCCAACCCATTCGTACATGCTGTTATAATAACTGTTTGTCATTTACACCATATTACTATTATGTTCCAGGGGTTCTAAGTTGGATTGTGCTGTCATATAAATGTCATACGTAACAGTTTTTCCCATGCTTATTATCTTATTAGACTGATTTCTAAATATTCATATTGTGTGCAATGTTACTGTCGATTTTTACCCAATGTTCCTATTGTGTGCCATTATTAGTAGTATGAATTAGTAGCACGATTTTACCCAGCGCAGCGGGTACCAGCAGCTATAGTTATATATATATCGTTCGTGTTGAAATTTCTCTAAAATAACGGAGTCTGTCGGGCGATTAATATCCATCGCTAAGGAAGCTAGAAAGAAGAAGTAACGCTGTAAAGGCGCGACAATATCGCTTTAGAAATCCTGTTTGCGATGACACACCCGTTTCGGTGCCGCCTTTACAGCGACATGCGGCGAGGCATGCACATGTACGGTCTTTCACTGTTTCTACGCGCATCGGGCGGCAGTAATTGCGACAGCAATGTCAGTGTATTTGAATGGACATAGTGAGGCAGCTTCTAACCCATAATCACGTTAATCGACGGCTGTAGAGAGTCGAGGTCGGGGACGCGTTGATAACGTAAGACGGTCGGTATAGATAAACCTGAATTCTGAGCAGCGGCGAGCCGGTTGACGTGCTCTTTTTTAATAGCGGCTTATTTTTAGTAGAGGCACCGCGTTAATATAGATTAACCGCCATTCTAGAAGCGTCACCAGTTGTTGGCGTGCACGCAGCACGTGGATATACCGCTATATTGTTGTCGTGCGTCGCTATGTGCCGTACGTGTTGCCGTTAATCACACAACGCTCGTATGACGAGCCAACATTATCGCAAAAGCCTGTTTTTAGCGCAGAGGCAAGGGCAAATCGATGGCAAATCTCGTTCAATGGTGTTTCACCCATTCTAGTGTAATGAGGTTTCATTTACCCTAGCGGCGCGTGATGACGTGTAGAGACGTCGGGCGGGTCAGTGCTATGTGTGCGTGCGTGTGTTTGTTTGTTTGCCTGTGTGTGGGGTGTGTGCATGTGTGCGCGCCCGCCTGTGTGTGGGGTGTGTGTGCGTGTGTGCGTGCGTGTGCGTGTGTGCGTGTGTGTGTGTGCGTGTGTGTGTGTGTGTGTGTGTGTGTGTGTCGTGTGTGTGTAGTGTGTAGTGTGTGTGTGTGTGTGTGTGTGTGTGTTGTGTGTGTGTGTGTGTGTGTGTGT